TGTTTCCAGAGCAGATATTGTGGGAGACTCAGGTGGTCCTTACACTCAGGGGTAAAGAAAACACACTGATGTCAAGTCCGTAAGTTCTATTTCTGGTACAAACGCAAAAAGGAGTTAAGACAGGGGTAAACAGCGTCCTGTCTTGGAATCTCTCTGGGTATCTCTATCTGCGCATGCGCGTACAGCGCGCATGTGCCCAAAACATGAACTAACACTCGGTGACAAAAGGGAGTATGATTATAAAACATATACTACAGAGACCTGAATCAATAATGGTTAATAGTACAGAGTTACATATTACAGGTGCTGATCTTCTTCCGCAAGTTCCATCTGCCAGTACCCACATAAGGCATCTGCTGTAGTAAAATACCTTGCCTTCGGGTCCACACTGCGTATAGCGGTGAAGGGTGTCGGTGAAGGGTGGGTCGGGCGGGAAACTTTGCTATTCAGCTTAGTGAGGTCGACGGTGATACGACCTCCAGTAATGTTCTTGGCGACTGCTACCATGGGGTGACACCAATCCGAGGGGTCGTCACCAGCAGGCTTAATGATCCCATGGGCTACCATAGAGTCGAGTTCCTTCTTCACTTGGCTCTGAAAAGCGAAGGGTATCTGTCTCGGTGTGTGGATGGCGAAAGGTACTGCGTCATCCTTCAGGTGTATTCTCATGGGGGAGCCAGCCATTGGCTTGAGTGGAGCCGTCTTGAGGTCCTCCTTGGAAACCAGCACGTCCTTGAATTGCAGTAGGAAGAACTCCCTGGCTGCAGAAGGTGACGTATTGGGTGGAAGGGGCAGCTCCTTGCACCTGTTGACATGTTTTATTTCCAGAATTGGCTTAGGGAAGTCTGAAGATATTATGGCCAACTCTTGACAGTGGCCATAAGACAGTAGTGGCATCTGAACACCTTTGTGGACCTGAATCCTGGCAGAACATGACTGCTTACCTAGGGTGAGGGTAGCCTGAAATGTACCCAGAGCAGGTGCCATTGTAGAACCGTCTGCGGTGAGCGTTGTAGAAGTTGACGGTGGTTGCAAGCTGCTCCTAGGGATCCCCAGAATGTCGAGGTGTCTTGTGCCGATGACTGTGACGTCCGCACCTGTGTCAGGAAGCATCTGGATACGGGAAGTAATGTCGCCGTATGACAGGTGAACACAGATGGGCTGAGGTGTCTTGCTGACAGGGGAAGAAGAGGATCCCACGCGACGACAGCGCTTGTTCTTCGCCGCCTGAGACTTGCAAGTAGCATTATTCTTCTTCTGTGACTGACAGCATTTGTCAAAGTGTCCAATGCGGCTACAGGAGCGGCACTGAACGTTGTTGGCAGGGCACTTCAGTGTCCTAGCCCAATGACCACGACGGCCACAGTTATTGCAGGTGCTGTCAGCGGCAGGGCATTCAGAACCATGCCGACGAGCACAATACTGGCAGGAATGACCTGGCGTCGAAGTCTGAAGTGATGCTGAAGATTGATGCGAAGCTGAAGTCGGATGTGAAGCTGAAGTCGGATGTGAAGCTGAAGTCGGATGTGAAGCTGAAGTCGGATGTGAAGCTGAAGTCCGGTCACGTCCTTTGTTCTTCTTATATGCGGAGATGGCACACAGCTGGTTAGATGGAGCACGAATGGCAGAAGTCGCACTTCTGGTGGCTTCGTAAGAGCGGCAGGTGGTGACAACATCCTGTAGAGAAGAGGCAGTGTCGAGGGAGATAAGCTTCTGAATTAGCTCTTCGTCCCGCACGCCCATGAGGATAATCATCCTCAGCTGTGTTTCCTCACAAGTCGACGAGTTCCCAGGACAAACGTCAACCTCCTCAGCGATGCGTCTGAGTCGTACGTAAAAATCGGCAAACGACTCACCCTCCAGCTGCTTACAACTGAGAAGTTCTCTCCTACGGAGAGCTTTGTTGCGGAGACCTTTGATATGAGTCTGTAAAGCATCCAAGACGTCCTTCACAGTCTTGTCTGTGTCGTGGGGAATTTGCAGGGTGTGCTCCAGGATACGTTGCGTCTCTAGGGTGAGACACATCCTCATCTGGATCAGCTGTTTCTCCCTAGGCAACCTTGATAAATCGACCATCATCGAATAATCTTCCCACCTCCGACGCCATTCACGGAATACCTGGAACGAGGCATCAGCTTGGAGTGGCGGTGGACTCTGAGCAAGTGCTTTCTGTGGGGGGGGGCAAAGAAGTTGAAGAGGACCCTGCAGGTGCACCTGTGGACGAAGAGGCAGGTGTAGTAGCTGCTTGAAGGTTAACAGGTGCCAACAACTCGATAATGGCACTGAATCTGGCATTTTCTTGTTGATGTCTGTGATTCTCTTCACGTCTTCATTCATCGTCTTCCTGTCGCCTCCTGATGTCGTCTTGTAGTCGGTTTTCTTCCAAAAACTGAATTAAATGAAGGAAGTCGACACCTGTGGCAGATTGCGGACGTGTGTAGTGGGGGCTAAGGGTGGGTGGGGCCGCTTGATCCACTTTCCGATCCACTTGGAGTCCACTTACTGCACCGACATCCGTCTGAAGTTGGGCTTGTTGGGTATCTGAAGAAAACCCAATAAATTCCTGATCTTCCATATGGCCTGGTTTATTTCTCTCACAATTACTGTAATTAATAAGTGAGCAGAAGAGCAATCGTATTTAAATGGAAGATATCTGCGAGCGTCTGTGTGTGTGTGTGTGCGTTCGTTCGTGCGTGTACTCGGGGCAGGCTGGCTGGCTCGCGCAGTGCCAGTCGAGACAGGAACGGGGTGGATGTCAAAACTTGAGCTCTCCCATAGGTCTTAAAAAGGCTCCCCTCTTCTGTAAAAAGTGCAGGAACACGGGGAAACACTTTAAAGACACTAAAGGGCACACACAACACTGAAAAAGCACTTCACAACACTGCACTGTAAATCCAGAAATATCGTGTTGAGGTACGCGCTGAGATCCACTCGACAAGGGAAGTTGACAAGATGGCGGCTCCGAGAGAGATTCTGTGTCCACTCCAATTCTGAATAATGTGATGTCCCAGCTAAACACTGCGCCATGTGGGAGACCCAGGTGATGCTTCCAATCAGGGGTAAAGGAAACACACTGATGTCAAGTCCGTAAGTTCTATTTCTGGTACAAACACAAAAAGGAGTTAAGACAGGGGTAAACAGCGTCCTGTCTTGGAATTTCTCTGGGCATCTCTATCTGCGCATGCGCATACAGCGCGCATGTGCCCAAAACATGAACTAACACTCGGTGACAAAAGGGAGTATGATTATAAAACATATAATACAGAGACCTGAATCAATAATGGTAAATAGTACAGAGTTACATATTACAGCCATATTCGTCTCATATATCTACAGATATCATTTCATCTATCAATGCGGATCTGTGCAGCATCTCCGAATGGGGAGATAGAAACTTGGTTAAATCTATTAGTAATATAACACAGTATTTACCGATTGCAGTTTCCAAAATAGAAGATCTCCCTCCAATCACATTTCATGACGAAATTATTTTGCCAAATTCTTAAGTAGCTATCCTAGGCCTTACCATTTCCTCTAATATTTCATGGAAGCCACACATCCATAACATTCCTGAAGCTATCTTGCGAAAGCTAAGAAGGCTGTACAGATGCCATAGCTATTTTACTTATGAGTAGTTGCTTCAAGTTTATAAGGGATACATTTGTCCTAACTTGGAGGACTGCTCTCATATCAGGGGGTTTTCTCTTTCTGTCCATCTGTTAGATAGGATGGAATAAAAGGGAATTCTTGTTATTAACTCTCCTCCTTTAGTTGATAATCTTGCTTCCCGCTCTCTTCGCTGCAATGTTGCCTCACTCTCTCTCTTTTACAGGTACTTTAACGGGCGATGTTCGGTGGATTTGGCATCCTGTGTACCGCGGGCAGGGCCGTGGGCTGGTATCGCTCGTCTTGCCCGCGGTGCCCACCGTTTCTGTGTGGATGTCAGTCACACTAGAATAACCCGTTATAGTACATTCTTCTTTCTCACTCAGCTAAACTGTGGAATGCTCTTCCTTCTTCTGTGTTTCCATACTCATACAATATGTTTCACTTAAAAAAAATGGTTTTCCGGCATCTTAATGGTGTGGATTAATTTGGTATTTTTCTCTCCTATTTTTAATTTCTTATTACTCTTATTTTTTCGACCCGCAGGCCCCGATGTGGGTCGATGACCTGTGCTCGGGTGGGCTATTCCCCTTAAAAAAAGAAAGAAAGTTTTTAATACAATATTATGCCCCTAGCCTTGAGACACAATGAATTGATGTAAAGAATCACACGATGCGGTAATGTAAACTCCAGATTCTCATTCGACTCACCAGGGCGGGGTGGGTGACGGGGTGCTCATGGCTGGGTATATAAACTCTCACCTGCTCATCTCTTCATCCAGTTCATAAAGGAACTTGATCCTCACAACTCAAATATGGTAAGAATTAATGGCTGAATCGCCTTCCACTTCCGCACAAAGACTAATATTATTAATGAATTCAGTGTAAACACTATATAACCTAATTGATTATGTAATGAACTTTATTACTGTAAATATTATAATTAAAATAAAATTGTTGCTTAACTTATATCGAAAGATAAAGATTACATTTGTTAATTTCAAGCAACTGTGTATACAACCGTGTCTATGAGAGCCTCACAGCTCAAGAGATCACAAGGACCTAATCCTATTTATTGTTATTTTGTTTATCCATAACAAGAATCCTACTGTTATATTCCTCAGACAGTCGTAATATAATAAGTACAAAGAATGATCCAGGTTGTATTATTAAGACTTAAATTATTTACTAATATTCTGTTTACGTAAAATTTTACTAAATTAGTCAATAGAGAGGTGGTTAAGTATAATTTATCGAAGGTTAACAGTATCTATATTCTTCATGGACATACTTCCATTGTATTAATTCCTTCGTCTTTATACTCATTAAAATGGAAAGTATTAACACTGTAAGTTCACTCAAGATTATTCTTCGCCTCAGTATAACACCAATATCATGTTTACACAATTTCAGAACTTGGTGTTAGTGTCCCTGTGTGTGGCCCTTCTGGTGGTGTCCAGCTCCGCCAGGCCCGGTGGACGAAGAGTTGGCGGTGGCGGCTATGGAGGAGGTGGCGGTGGCGGCTATGGAGGAGGTGGAGGTGGTTATAGTGGTGGTGGAGGGGGTTATGGAGGTGGAGGCGGCGGCGGCTATGGTGGTAGGGGCGGCGGTGGCTATGGTGGAAGCGGCGGCGGCGGAAATGGCGGAGGTGGATACGGAGGTGGCGGTGGCGGCTACGGCGGTGGTGCTGGCGGCTCCGGCGGTGGTGCTGGCGGTTACGGCGGCGGAGGTGGAGGTTATGGAAAATAAATCTCAAATGGCCTCCAGAAATATGCAGATGTTTAATTATCTGAACTCTTAATTGTCTTATATTGTATGAGTCTCTCCTTATTAAACTTACCCTCCTGCAAAAATTATCATGTATGGATTTCTAAGAACATCACAAACTTCTTACACTGTTTGCTAATTGTACTATCAGAAAAAATAAATTATGAAGTGTGAAACTACATCTTATTTATTTATCTTCTTTGATAACCCACAACAGTATTCACCTGAGGTTTTTTCAGATATTCTCCAATTTTATTTTTAAGTTCTTGTACAAATTTCGACAGTTCTGTCCTATAATGGCCCAAAAGGTATTGACAGAGGTTTTCCCAAGCAGGGTAGACCTATTTTGGCACATGTTCACGTAACCCTACGCCAAAAATTATCTTTACGGAGGGGATAGGTGAATTTCAAAAAGATCACCACGACTCCTGTTGCTTCGGTAGGACTGTCAAAAAATTTCGTCATTGTTTCATAGTTTCTCACAAAAAATCGTAAGGAAACTTTTTGGAGTGAGAACTCATACAAGAGCCACTACATATCCAATACCAATCCAATTAAAATATTGATGTTAAGAGGTGTACCAAAGTTATTCTACCAAACAACTTTAAAATACAACCACATTACGAACAAATATGTTAGAAAATCATATACTGTAAGCATTGGTCGATTTAATGTTAAGTAAAGATTTTTGTTATGCAAGAGAAATTAAGGACCGAAACATGTATTAAAAAGAAATAATAACTTACTGTGAAAATTTATGGGAACAGTGTCTCTAATAGTTTTTACTGACTACTTTTTTTTTAATGGCCTCCAGCCTTCCCCATACCTTAGCCACCATTTTATTATCTTAAAATTAACTATCCTAATACATAGGTAGCTATCCTAGCTGTGTTGAGTTAGTTGAGCCGCAGATCTATGCGGCATTCAGTGACTGTAGGCTCATAGTCAATACCTGCAACTATTGTCGGCTTTGGGGCCGATGCTCTCGTTCCCCTGATGCAGAGCAAAAACGACCAAAGGAGAGAGATGGACAGTCGACATCTCTCTGTCCCCGCGTCCAGAATCCTTGAGCACTGACGTCAACACGGGCTTCGTTGGATGTGTTTGAAGACCTATGTTGGAAAATCTCACCGTCCAATGGAAGGAGGGTCGGTTCTACCCTGAGATCACGGCAGATTTCCTTCAACATATTTGCTGTGAGATCCCTTACTTCGTCATGCCTCATGCATATGAAGCCCCCTTTCTTGCACATCATGGCGTGATCGACGTCATAGGAAGAGCCACACATGCATTGGGAGGGCAAACCTTCCACTGGCCTACCGTACCTTAGAGCATTGGAATCTGTAAATTCTTGTTTATTGGGAGTGAAACCATTTGCCCTTATCGGTAACGTAGTTAACCAGTTTGAGGCTCCCACCTCCTGCGTTATAGCTACTTTTTTTCCAAATTCTCTGGTACTTGCAGCATCAGTTGCTGCAACTTATCACTTTGGCCGTGCTGTCGTTCTGTCGTAATGGACCTTCGAATCTTGTTTACTTCACTGGTATCCACCTCCCCTTGTTGCGTTGTGAGCTATTATGTGGTCCGTGAGGGCTGCCGTGTGCTTAACTGAGTTTTGATGTTCGGTGGCAGCACTCTCCTCGGGATTGGTCAGTCCCATTCCTCCCCTTCTCGTTGGTAGTGATCTTTCTGCTGGGGTTAAGTGAGGGTGTTTCACTAATTTGGGAATAAAATTGACGCTGATAGCTTCTTCCAGAGGGTAGAAGAGGGGTGTAATATCAGGGATAGTGCGCATCAGGTAGTTCCAGCGATGCTTGACTCCATGGGTGAATGCCATGCCGCAAAAACCGCATGTGGCTCTGTGTTAGCAATCTCAGACAGTGCTTGGATTTCCCTAACCCACTCATTTACCTTTCCCGTTACGTACACCGTCTTGAAGTCAATCGTGCCGATTACTTCGCCTGGGTGTCTTTGGCCATCTTTTGTTATTTTGACCTCACTTCCACTGACTACTACCACTACTACTACTACTACTACTACTAATAATAATAATAATAATAATAATAATAATAATATTATTATTATTATATTATTATTATTATTATTAACAATGCAACTATGACTTCCTCTATTTTCAAAGACATGGTATAGAATATAACCCAAAATATTCTCAGGGGGTTTCCATCTTCTGTTCCTTTCAGACGAACCTCAGTTCTGGGAGACTTGAACTATGTTTTCTCACATGAAGTTTTTGTTTCCTTTAGGTTCCATTCCATATATTTTTGGGTCACATATCATCATTTGTTTTCTTTTGGCCTGCAATAAGTATTTTATCTATACCATTTCTTGCACTTTTATTTAACAAATACACCATTAAATCAACCATTTCATAATTGGGAAGAGTGTAACAGTGCCATGAGTTCCCGCCACCTGAGAGTTCCTGCCAATTTCGAGCCAATAGTGTGAAGGCCTTAGGCCTTTCTTCAGCCAATGAGGAAGCCTATGAGGTCTGACGTCATGAAAGTTGTGACATCTCTTTGTGGGTTGAGGCAGTTTGAAAAGAGGAGACTGTGTTTGGTCCAAGTTAAGTGTGGTTGTGTCTTGGGTGTTACCTCCTCACATAGCGGCTAAAATGTGAGTACATGTTTGGTTTATCCGCTTCCCGAAATGTATTGTGAGTCATGGACCCCTTGGTTAGCTAGCTAGGAAGAGAGGTTTATTGCTGCGATGTATAAAATTGTCAAACCCCAATAGAAAGTATTTAATAAATACAGTGACCGTTAATAAGAGTCCTACTTTATCCCTCCTTTATTGAAAAGAAGTGATGTGTTATAAATGTCTTGGTATTATGCAGTAATAAGGTGAGTCATATATATAATAACTATCCCATATTTCCTCTGTTGTATCGTAGTACACAGCTATCCACCATCTCAGCCTCCCCTTTGGTGTGAGAGGCATGACAACAACTTCTTCCCCTCCCATCACAGCCTCTCCTCAAACGTAAGCAATTGGTCTCTCACTACTTCCCTCACTCCCTCCACCTCTCAAGAGTAAAACGAGAAAGAATAACGGGAATAAATAAAAGAAAGAGTAAGAGTAAGTGAAAGAAATAAGAATAAGGAATATAAATATAAGTAAATAAAAAGAATAAAATGGAACAAGGAAAGGTAATTTGTTACAGGAGTAATATCTTTGTCAGTTTTGATAATAGTCTCTACAAGTCTATATGTTTAAGAGTTTTCATATTTATTCGATGGTAGATCACGTACGCTAAGGACAGTATCTCAAAAGGAACACTATATTATCCTGAAATTTGGTTATTGAATGTGATGGTTAATATATATATTGTACTTGGGTACAGCATTATAGCTATTAGTGCTCTCATTAATTAGTCCTTCAACATAATCCTTAAAAAAAATAATGACAGTTAATGCAGAAATCGTAACGTTTATAAGAGACATCAAAGTTAGGTTAGTTAACACCTATTAAGTGTTTAACACACAATATCATCCCCCTAGCCTTGAGAGACAATGATGATGCAAAGAATCACACGATGCGGTAATATAAACACTGGACTCTCACTTGACTCACCAGGGCGGAGGTGGGTGACGGGCTACTCTAGGCTGGGGTATATAAACTCTCACCGGCTCATCACTTCATCAGTTCGTAAAGGAGCTTAATCCTCACAACTCCAATATGGTATGTTTTCGCATTATACAACTGCTCTTATCTGCATTAAAATTAACATTATTAATTCACTGAATACGTTATTTGATTCATATAAATCTGCCAAGTATGTTTGTAAATAACTGAATTGTTTCATATTATTAAAGTATATTAAAAATTAAAGATAATTTGCATTTTGGTTTGATACAATAGGATGGTTTCATCTTTGTGTAAGCCAGAGTCCTAATAAGAGTTTTATGGCTGAGGAATCACCAAGACTGGATCTATGATGTTTAAAATAATCTTACTAGCCTATAAATTATATCATCATTTACAGTATATTCTTAAAGTTGAGGAAATGAATGAAGATTATTACGAAGATATAAATGTTATAAATAAGGATTAAATTACAACATGTTGTTATTTCTAATGCGGTATTCTGCTTACAATAAAATGAATTCACTTGTAATCTCTCTAATAAACTATAGTTAGATTTTTTATATGACTAGCATTAATATGACTGTATGGCACTTCCTTTTCTCCTTTATTTTCTTTCAGTTAAACGACAATTAAAACAGATTGGTTAGTAAACGTGATGAAGAAATATCTCGATAATGTTCGTTCACTGTAGAGATTATTCTTACCCTTAAGACAGTCCTGTACTAATATATTGTCTTCACAATTTCAGAAGTTGGTGTTAGTGTCCCTGGGCGTGGTCCTCCTGGCGGTGTGCTGCTCCGCCATGCCAGGTTATGGTGGAAGTGGTGGTGGGGCCGGCTACGGAGGTGGGGGCGGCGGTTATGGTGGTGGTGGTGGTGGTGGCGGATATGGTGGAAGAGGAGGAGGTGGAGGTTATGGTGGTGGTGGCGGCGGAAATGGTGGGGGTGGCTACGGAGGTGGCGGTGGCGGCTACGGTGGTGGCGGACGCAATGGGGGAGGTGGCTACGGAGGAGGCGGTGGCGGCTACGGAGGTAGTGGCGGTGGCGGTTACGGCGGCGGAGGTGGGGGTTATGGAAAATAAATCTCTACTGACCTCCAGAAATATGCAGACGGTTAATTCTCTGTACTCTTAGTGATCATATATCATGTGAGTCTCTCCTTATAATATAAAACTTCCTCTCTTCTGAAAGTTATCATGTCTGGTTTACTACGAACATCAAAGACGTCTTACACTGTTTACTAATTGTACCGTGAGATAAAATAAACTGCTAAGTGTTAAACTACATCTTGTTTATGTATCTTCTTTCCACAATCAACAGCAGAGGTCACTGGACGTCGTATTTTTTGCCTTCAACTTTACGCAGATTTAATGATGA